GGAAAGGGTCTCGAGACGTGCGAAGCATGGGTAAGCCACTCATCAAATAGCAAACTTATGTAAATTAAGACAAAATGTATGTAAAATTTATTGTAGGTTTGTCAAAAATCCAGTCGTCCAGGTCCTGGGAAGATATGTTATTCCACATTGCTGAGAGTATATATGGGTATATTAAGATTGCTAGAAACATTCCAAAAACAAAAGAAATAATCGTGCGCCACCTTGGCGCACGCCGTCCGTTATGGGTTAAATATCCAGAGCATCATTGAAACACTATAGAAGAGGACAGGACAGGAAAGGTTTGGGCAAAAAAAGAGTCAGGGATAGGGGTGAGAACTCGTCAAATTTGAAGAAAAATTGAGGAGGTTGTCCCATAGATGGTGCCTTCATTGTCTGACGTGTTGTGGTATTTGTCTCTATTGATCACTACATTTCTTTTGTGGTCTGTGGTCTCTTCGTGCCCTGAGCCCCGCACCTGTCTCACCATGCTTTAGCAAGTTTTGATCTGTTTGGCGGGAAAACCGCTAATATAAAGCCACCACGTGAATGGTCGGAGTTAGTTCTTTCTCGCCTTTTTTTTATTCGGAGTGCTGTATTCGTCCGTTGCCTGTGGCGTCACCCCTAATAAACCGTACCATTCGCTTCCAGTCAGCCGGAGAACACAGGGGACATCGTCCACTACATGGGGGCCAAGCAAGGCCGGCCATAGGAGCTTTGGTAAGTTTAGAATTGGTACGCCTAGAGCGTCTAGTAAGTCCAACTCCGATCGAGTGATCGTGAAATTCGGACTTCACGGACGAAACCGAACTCCGGCATCGTGACGTTCGGAAACTTCGAAAAAAAAGTAGAGACACATAGCGAACTCCGGTTGGCAATCCAACTGTGATTTTTAAGTGCATTCAGGAAGTTTTTCCTTATCTGGCCAAGTATCGAACTCCGGTTGGGAGCAACTGAGATCTTCGATTGGGGCCAAAAGAAGTCACTCAACTTAACGGAAAAACTCGCCACCCAGGCCAGTCATTTCCGAACTCAGGGCTTCCGATACAGCGGTTGCCGCTGTAAGTAGTGATAATCAAAAGAGAGTCCCTTGAGGCCATTGATAGCCGCTAACGGGTATTGCCTAATTGATCTGGTGTGATATTGATCGCAAAAAAAAGCCCGCCATACTAGGCCACTGTCCATTTCAAACCTGACTTGTTGCATCGATCGACGCCAGTCATTGATTCTTCAACAAGTGTCTACCATTGCAGTTCACTGCTCCATTCGTAATCGATTTTTTTTCTGTTCGATCTGATTTCTGATTTTGTGTGCGTTGCGGGGTAGCAGGCTTTTACAAAGGGCTAGGGAGTCTGTTGACCGTAAGAACCAGATCGAACTCCGGCTGAATTGACAGTTGCGATTTTCGATCGAGTGCTAAGTAGTGTCAAGTTCCGGCGGATAAGCCGTGACCTCGACATTCTAACTGGAGACAACGACTCCATTGCAAGAAAGGAGTCAGGTTGAACTGCGACTAAAACCGCAGTGGTGATTATCGATTGAACGTAGAGTTAGTGTTGCTATCCGGCAGAGTAAGCCGTGACCTCAACACTATAACTAGGAAAAGGGAGCTGATTGTGAGTGGTTGTGCGTTTTTCTCCGCGGTTGCGTGAACTATCGTCACTCCTGCGAACTATTTGTTGTCACCTGTCTCCGATTATTGATAATCGTGATTTTCATTCTACAATTGTATTGATCTCTTCTATCGTACGCGACTCCAATTGTGCGTCATAGCAGATTTCAAAGCATTGTGAAAGACAATCTGTTCCAGAGAGTGATGGCGCATGTTAATGAAGATGAGCTGCTCCGCACACCCGTCGAAGACGAGGAGATGTTCGATGAGAATGTAAGTGACAATTTCGTGAGAGAATTTGACAGACTTTCAAACAAAATGTTAAATCAAGTGAATTTGATTGCTATAACATGCGACTCGAGCTTGTCGAAAGTAATGCGCACTGATGACCCGAGAAGAGACTCGGTAGTGACTTCGGTGCGAGAGCAAGTAGCAGTAGCCAAAGAAATTGTGAAAGCAACGCTCGTAGAAATCAGCGAGTGGAGTAAGCCTCAAGTAGCGGAACTTGTTTTGAAACTGCTACGGGAAGCACAAATACACAGTGTAGCTCAATTGCGAGAACACTTAAGTAAGAACGCAGCGATGGTCAAAGTAGTGGAGGAAACATGCGAAGTCCTGCAATGTCAGGAAGTGGAAATAAGCATGAGGGTGAGAGGACTAGCCGCAGGTTTTAAAATAGAAAGGCAAAAGTCCGAAGAACTTCGACTGCAATTGACTCAAAAAGAATTACAGGTTGAACAATTGCGTCAAGAAGTCGAAGGCCTAGGGCAGCAAGGCAAGGCGAGCGCCCACGATAATACGGATAGCAGTGGATCAGCGCAAGGTCAGTCTGATCGATCAAGACAATATAATTCAGTAAGAAACGAGTAATCAAAGCAACCAGTCTTTACAGATGCGCTTTTCAAAGACTTGGATGCAATCGAGCCGACCGTATTGCGTGACTACGCCGAGAGACGGCTCAGAGAACTGTCAAGGAATTCAACAATCGTCGGTCACAGGTGAGGATAACGAGTTTTCGCTGAGTGATTACATGCGTACCATGTCCTTACCAGAAGTACAGCCCTTCCTTGGTAGACCAGGCGAGTGTTTCAAGAGATTTTTAAGCTCATTTGACATGAAATACCCAAAAGGTCAGTGGAAAGACTCCAACAGATTGCAACTTTTGCAAAGCTTTCTGAGGAAAAACGCTTTGATAGCATTTGAGACCTTACCAAAGGAAGTACGAGAGGGCACTTTTGATGGTGTAGTGAAGGCAATGAAAGATAGGCTGCGCGTAGACGGGAATAGCCAAAGAGTAAAAGCTCTATCAGATCTGCGCACATTAACCATTCGATCCGGACAGACCGTGAGCGAATTTTGCCTCGTTTTAGAAAACTTAGCAAATAAAGCCTACCCAGACACGCCCGCAGAAGCAACTTCATTGCATAAAGCGGAGATTTTGTGCAGACAATTTGCCAATTGGAATGGAAGTTATTGCCTAACTGAAGGTCGCTAAAGACCTCAGCAGTTGCGAACTAGCGCGTACGCGAAATAGTCAAGAAGCCGGCCTCGACGTTTAGAGAATACGAACTTGACACCACATAGCCGATGAGTGTGACCAGATTCATTTCGTGTTCAAACATACAAGACCTACGCACCCCGTTCGGCAACAAACACCATGCATGGGTTAAACATCGTGAAACATACATAAGGAAAAACGTGGGAGAAAGCTCGAAGAAGCGAAGCAGTAAAACCGCACAACCCCCCAACAGGCACCAAAGGGGACCATACACCACGTACACCAACGTTCCAAAGAAAAAGTGATTCGGTCAGATGTTATAATTGCGGAAAGATGGGCCACTTAGCAAGAGAGTGCCATGAAGCACCAACTCGGCAACAAAATACTTCAACAGTAACTGATACTCACAGAATGCCCGGCCCAGCGTATGCCTCTCGTATAGATAAATGGATGTGCACAACGTGGAACAACCCTCGGTCTAACTCAAGTCAGCTATTCGGTGAGAAGCCGTTGGTAGAGATAACGATCTGTGGTATAAAGGCGAATGCGCTTTTAGACACGGGTTCGCAAACCACAATCATCCCAGTGAGATTGCTAAAAAGAGCCGCAAATGAAGGTGTCAACTTGGACGAATACGTTGAACGGTTACCCAAACCCAAAATTACGGTTCGAGATGCGTCCGGAAATGTGATGAAGTTCTTTGACACCATATGCATAGCAATAACGTTAGAAAACCAGCTCGAGTTTGTGCCAGCCTATGTAGGAAAAGGTTTCGACGAAGTAGTAATACTGGGTACAAACGCGCTAGAGTTGTTCAACCTCAGGCTCTCCAAAGGCGCTGATACACGCAAGGAACCTGAGGACGAAGGTCAAATAGCTGGAGGCGTCAGCACAGGCCTCAAAGCAAGGGTTAAAAGTAGGGTTTTCGTTCCATCGAAAGCAATGCGAACCCTGACTTTGACATGTGCACGAGCTGATCTTCGGAAGTCGCCATTTCTCTGTTCGTCTCATCCACTCATACCTGATGGTGTATGCAGTGCCACGGACAACGACGAAGTAAACATACCTGTCATCAACAACTCAAATCAAGGAATGGTATTCAAAAAAGGAGAACCAATAGGAGAATGGCAAGTCAAAGACTGGGTTAAACCGAAGTATGTCGAGCCTGAGAGGGACATGTTGGATCTGAACAGACCAAGAAAGTGGTGTTCCACTGAGAGCCGGATAGATACATTAATGGAGATAATCGAACAACATAATACTTTACCATGTGAAGCAGTGAAGCTTCTGAAGGAATTTAACAATGTGTTTGCGGTCACTGATGCAGAGCTCACCCAAACGGACTTGGTGGTTCATGAAATTGACACAGGAGACCACAAGCCCATAAGACAGAAAACCAGGCCAGTACCCATAGCAGCGCGGAAGGAATTCAAAGGAGTCCTCAAAGACTTGGTGGAACGCGGCATCGTGGAAAGAAGCTCTTCTGACTGGGCTTCTCCAGTAGTTCTCGTAAAGAAGAAGGATGGCACACTCAGAGTCTGTGTTGACTACAGAGAACTCAACAAAGTCATTCGTCAGGATTCGTATCCTTACCAAAAATAGATACTGTTCTACAGTGCCTTGCTGGGAAGAAAGTATTCTCCACCATGGATCTCGCTTCGGGATACTGGCAGATACGTCTCTCCGAAGACGCAAAGAGG